AAAAAAAAAAAAAAAAACAAAAAAAAAGGAAAAATAAATTTAAGTCCCCCCCCCCAAAAAAAATGTAACGTAACACATAAAAAAGAATAAAACATTTTTTTTAAGTCCTCACCCATACATACACACATGCAAACATGCGTCGGGGGCGCATACGTGCAAAAACGACGATTGCGCCCATTACGCCGCACATGTCAAATTTCGCCGCGAACATCACAGTGAGAGCAATAAGTCTAGGGGCATCAATCACTGATAACACTAAACGGATGAGCGGTAAAAGCTTTTAAAGTGTCGCCTATGGCCAATTTTGGGTGTGGTAGTTTTCTGCGATTTCGCGGGTGCGCGCAATTTTAAAGGTTGACATGTTTGGTGTCTATTTATCCGACGTGACCCTGACTTTTATATTTTACCCAAAAACTGGGTAATAATAAGCGTTTCCTAACATAATGTAAAAAAAAAAAAAACTTTTTTTTTTCAAAATTTTTCCTAATTATAGTAAAAAATAAAAACCCCAGTGGTGATTAAATACCACCAAAATAAAGCTCTATCTGTCCCCAAAAAATTGTATAAAATTTATTTCAGTACAGTGTTGCATGACGGAATAAATGTCAGTCAAAGTACTGCAGCGCCGAATACTGAAAAATGGCCTGGCCAGGAAGGGGGTCTAAACACCTGGTCTTGAAGTGGTTAAGAACAAAAACCCTGCTGTGTTCCATGTCTAAACTGCTTAAAGTGAACCTGTGCCACAAACAACCTTATAAAGTAATACTGCTCTTTCAGCACAAATTCAGAGATAATTTAAGGACCTACAGCCAAGTGATTCACAAATAAGCTACATTATTGTTAATAGTTCAGGTACTTGAATGCATTTTTAAGGTTTAACTCCTGAGTTTAGTGTCACTTTAAAAAGAAACCATCTATGCTTACCAATGCACTCCATGTCTCTGCCCTCACCCCTCTTCCTTCCAAACCAGCAACTATCTGAGCTGCTGTGCCTGTTTATATCCTTCTAGAAACAGACTGTAGCCAGCCAGTTGGTTGATCAGCTGCATAGTCAACTTCCCATGCTTGTTGTTATGTCAGCAATCACAAAGTTTTATTTATTACTCCCTGCTAGAGTTGTTCTCACAAGATAAGCCCTTCTTCTGCTTTATCTACTGAGCACGACTGCCATCAGTTGAGGCAAGGGATAGACTGTCCTGGCCCAGTTGCTTCAAATACAGCTCTTAAGGTTCATGTTCTGCTGGTTGATCCATCTCTGCACCTGTGTCAGGAGTCTAGAACTGCCTGTATCTGGCTGAATCCCTATTGCCCAGTTCCTTCACGCATCCTGACAACATAATAATGCCATAACCATAATACACTGAATGCATGGTGTTCATGGGTGATGAGCAGTGGTTGACATCCAGGTTTACCATTGACCTCTTGGGTTGGTTTCTAATGATCTCCTTATACACTCACTGTTTTTTGTGGATGACCTTTTCTAGGTAATGTTGTGCCATAGCCTTTCCATTTCTTGAAAAACAAAATGATTTAATATAAAGATTTGCAATGTTGATCAATAAACAAGACTCCTGAGCGTTGACATAATATCCATAGCTGTCTACTACAACCACCCCACCCCCCCTGGCAATCTGATTGGAAGAAAATGGCAGTGTGAGACCAGGCCTGTGTCAGCAAAATACCAGCTCCTAGCAATGCAATGCTGCATCTGCTGTACAGGACCCCCCCCCCCCCCAAAAAAAAAGAAAAAACACAGAAAGAAGGGGGGATATTGGGGACTGATTTACTCTGGCAGCTAACCAAGGCTCGTGAATGTAAATTAACATTATCATATATTACAAAAATAACAAAATATGCAAACTAATAGAGTACTTGAGGCACACTTCATTGATATGATTTTAACAGTCAGTTTCCAATAATTAAGGCCTGATTACCTGCAACATTGTCTTTCTTAGCTCTAACCTTCACTTGTGCTTTGTTCACATTCTGAATAATAGTTGTACTGTTTGGGAGAAAACATTTGTTAAAAAAAGTGTAAAATCAGTAAACAACACAGTAATAAGTTATGTGAAATATAACATGAGTCTAAAACGTAAATCCACACATCACATGAAACAAACTCCCAAACTACCTTTTGTCATCTCATGACTAGACAAAGATCAGACCGTCTCTGGCTACCAAGAAGATTGTGGGTGTTTAACGTCAATATAAAATAGGCAGGATTAAGGCTGGCGCAAACCAATGGGACTTGTGCTCACTCCGGCAATGCTAGGAACCACGGGGCTGCCCTCTCAACCAGGGAGTCACTGGAATCTTGACAACATGCAACAAAACACAGAGCAGGCGCCACCTCCTAGTGCAGTATGTTTATTGACCAAATGATTAAATAAAGGATTAAAAAATTGGAGTTACGTACCTGGTAACTCTGTTTCTAGGAACCTTCCAGGACAGCATTAGAGAGATAGGATCCTCCCACCAGAAACAGGCTCCTCCCACCGGAAACAGGAAACACATCACCCACACCTAGAATAAAAAAAGAGTACCAGCCTAGCACACTTCAGTTAAATCATAAGAACCGAAGGATACCGCATTACTACTCCATCCCCTGGAAGATGTACACCTACAGAATTATACATATCTATATATATATATACATATAGATAGATAGATAGATATCTATATTTATCTATCTATATATATATATATATATGCAAAAGGTGTACACATACAGAATTATACATATGTATATATATATATATACGTCTCCGCACAACGTACGGCAACTCACAGCAAGCCACTCCATTAATCGGGTGGGAATCCCTGCTGTCCTGGAAGGTTCCTAGAAACAGAGGTACCAGGTACGTAACTCCAATTTTCTCTAGTCACCTTCCAGGACAGAATTAGAGAGGATAAATGAGCACCATACTCACAATTTAGGGCGGGACCACGGCTTGCAGTACTTTCCTTCCGAAAGCCTGATCTTGGCTTGACGTCAGATCCACTCTATAGTGTTTGACGAATGTAGAGAAACTGGACCAGGTTGCTGCTCTGCAAATCTGATCTGGGGTAGCCCCTGCTCTTTCTGCCCAGGAGGAGCCAAGGCCCTCGTCGAGTGTGCCGTCACCGGCTGTGGTATTTTCAGGTTTTGTAGATCATACGCTTCATAGATCATAGATCATACGCTTGGTGTATAGCCACCCTGTCCGACAGCCCTTTCCCTAACAGCAGGTCCCTCTCAGAAACCAGGCTGTTAGGGTCAAATAGTCTAGGCGTGGATGCATCGCCGATCCCTGCCGAAGTAGATCCTCCTTGATTGGGAGTATCCAAGGTGGTTGGATGCTCAATTTTTGTAGAGGGCCAAACCATGGCCTTTTTGGCCAGAAAGGAGAGATCAGGATAAGCAAAGCTTTATCCTCCACCACCTTCTTGATGACTCCTGGAATCAAACCTATTGGGGGAAAAGCGTAAAGCAGCTGGGGCCCCCAGGGGTGCAATAACGCATCCACCCCTAAGGTCCCCTCCTCCCAAACTAGCGAAAAAAACTGACCCACTTTCCTGTTGGTTTTTGAGGCGAAGAGATCCACTTGCGGCATCCCCCACCTTTCCGTGATCGCTTGGAAAGTCTGATCGTTCAGTTTCCAATCTGACTGGAGAAATTTTCTCCTGCTCAGTGCGTCTGCCAGGACATTTAGGCTGCACTGCACGTGTACTGCCGATAAGGACAACAGATTCCCTTCTGCCCAGAGTAGAATGTCCTCGGTCAGTGACAGGAGGGTATGAGACCTTGTGCCCCCCTGTTTGTTTATATATGCCACCGCTGTAGCGTTGTCCGACGCAATCCTTACGCGCTTGCTCACGACGTGGGGAGTGAACCCCAGTAGTGCACATTCCATCGCTTTTAGTTCCCTCATATTTGAGGACTTGGAGCTCCAGTCCCTGTCCCAGGAACCCTGAAGCATGTGCTGTTGGAGATGTGCCCCCCATCCCCACGCACTCGCATCTGTCGTGATTTGCACAACCTTCCCCCTGACAGGTGCTCGGCCTCCAGCCACCATAGTAGAGACAGCTTCACCCTTCCGGGTAGAGCTATTACCTTGTCCAAAGATTCCCTTTGACCGTCCCATTCTGCCAGAAGGAAATTCTGGAGGGATCTGGAACGTACCTGAGCCCATGTTACCGCTGGTATGGCTGTTGTCATGAGGCCCATGAGCCTCATGATTCGTCTGAAAGACACCTCTGCTGACGCGTAGATGACTCTCGTCTCTGCTATCAGTTTCTCCACTTTTTCGTCCGGAAGTAACATGCGCTCTGCCTCCGTGTGCACCCGGTACCCCAAAAATACCACCCTTTGTGACGGCAGCAATTGAGATTTCTCTGTGTTTATGAGCCAACCCAGGTTTTGAAGGTGGGCCATGGCCCCAGCGAGGTTCCCCCTGAGAGATTCCTGGTCGCTGGCAAAAAATAGTAGGTCGTCCAGATAAGGAATTACCCCTATCCCATGTAGCCTGAGAGGAGCCAAAGCCTCCGCCAGGACCTTCATAAACACCCTCGGGGCTGATAACAGGCCAAACGGCAGTGCCTTGTATTGGAAGTGTAACGTCTCTCCGGGCCCTTTTATTGCAAATCTTAGCAACCTCTGGGCCTCCTCCGCCATCGGTATATGAAGGTAGGCATATCTTAAGTCTACCGTGGCCAGAAACATACCTGGGAGTAATAATTCCCTGATCATGTAGATCGATTCCATCCGGAATCTTTTGTAGCGCACGACTTTGTTCAGGGGTTTCAGGTTCAGTATAACCCTGAATCCCCTGACTGTTTTCTCCTGAGGAATACATGCAAGTAAAACCCCGTTTTTTCTTTCGTGACTGGCACCGGACATATTACTTCTTGGAGTAGAAGGTTTTGTATTGCTGACGTCATTTCTGTGGATTTGACTGGATCGAGAGAGAGACAAGTCACCAAAAATCTGGAGGGAGGGATTTGCAGCAGCTCTATTCTGCAACCTCTGCGTATCAGATTCAGAACAAATATGCTGTCTGTAATCTGAAGCCACTGCGGGAGGAAATCCCTCAATCTTCCTCCCACAACGGCTGCTCTGTCATTGTGTCTTGGGGGGTTGAGGGGGGGTAAAAAAGAAATTGCTTTTCTCTTTCCCCTTCTTGTTCTCCCAATTCCGATTTTTGAATTGTCCCCCTCGGTCTTTACGTGGAGGACCTCTTTTACTCGGCTGATAACGCTGATTTTTAAAACCCTTTTTCCCCTGTTTTTTGGGGAGGGGAAATCCTTTTTTCCGATCTGCTGATCGGTCAAGCACTCTTTCCAGTTCCTGACCGAACAAGAGGTCACCCCCAAACGGGATTTCACAGAGCTTGGTCTTTGATGTCACATCTCTCGGCCAAGTCTTCAACCACAGGGCTTTCCTGCTCGAGTTGATAAGGGCCGTGGTACGGGCCGAGATCTTCACCGCTTCCATAGAAGTATCCGCTATATAGGCTACAGCCTTTTCTAGCACTGGCAGAGAATCCACGATCGTGGCTCTGTGCGTCCCTGCATTCAGATGCTCTTTTAGTTGTGACAGCCAGACGTCCAGAGTTCTGGCCATACAAGTAACAGCCACTGCTGGCTTGAAACCAACCCCCGCGGCTTCCCAAGCCCGTCTGAGCAGTGTTTCAGCCTTCTTATCCATGGGATCTTTAAGCAGGTCCATATCTTCAAAAGGACAGATCCGTGTTCTTTGAAAATTTTGCCAGGGAAGTGTCCACCCTTGGACATTTTTCCCACACCTCAGAGTCTTCCGCTTTAAAAAGGGAAATCTCCTTTTCAGCTTGGAAGAAAAAAACACTTTTCGTTCTGGATCATTCCACTCCCGTCTTCACCACCTCTTTGATAGACTGGTGAACAGGAAATGTGCGGCCCTTTTTGGGCTGTAGCCCTTTATATAATCTGTCGTGTATAGACAGCTCCCCTTGCTCCTCGGATATACTCAGCGTATCCCATACTGACTTGAGGAGCTCGTTGGTCTTGTGCGCGGGGAACAGATATCCCCCCTGAGATGGTCCCGTGTCCTCTCCTGACTCTAACCCTGCATCCTCTTCGGAGTCAGCGGAAGAATCCGACACCGTAGCAGCCCTCTCAGATGCAATGCTTGGCCGTGAGGCCGCCTGAAGGGGAACGTACATCCCTGAACATGAAGGGACTGCCACTGCATGGCTACCAGTCAGATCCGCCTCCTGTATGACCGTGCGGAATGACTGAAAGGGAGACATCATTTCTTCCCGCATGGAATCCAACAGATTTTTGAACATGCTAGAGGATTCATCCTTAACCAATTTCCCAATGCAGGACTGGCACAGAGGTTTTTCGGATGTGGACGAATACTTCGTACTGCATTGTGCACACTTCCTATTGCTAGATCGATTTGCTGCAGCTGTTTTCTGCAAAACAAAAAAGACCAAGCCATGTTAAGAATCAGCAATCCTCCAACACTGTGTCCATCCCTTTCCTCATGTCCCCAAACACTGAGAAATACCCGGTAAGAGGAATGGGGAACTCCCCCTCTCTTACCTTAGAGCTGCCGGGCCAGGATCCCCCAGATCAAATGCTGCCATTGTGGAAGTTGAGTCTCCAGCTAGGCCCCCTGGCCCCTCCGACTCCAGCTCATGTGCCCCGCCATTGGTGCCCCCCCTTGCGTGTGTGGGCAACGCAAGGGACTTGCGACCTACTGCTTCCGCTGTGTTGGACATCTGCAGCGTGTACCGAGCGGTTGGCGAAACGCGGAAGTGCTGGGTCCTATGACCTTTGCTCCCGGAAGTGACGTCAGACTCGGAGCGGTCCCGATCGGAAGTGCGCGATACGCGTCACTTCCGCCCTTACGTCTCATGCACCGGAACGTATCTTCCCCCACCACGAGGGACCGCCGTACCCGCGGCTCCTTTCCATCTGCCGGCCACTCCTGAATCACTGCTGCCCTAGACCGCGTCTAGCAACCGGAGGGAATGCCGCAGAGAACCGCCGCCGAAGCAGCTGTAGGAGCCCAGAAGCTGCTGCGTTACAGGCAAGTAAAAAAACAAAAAACCAGCAAGAAACACACAACCTTGAAAACCATGAAGCAGAGGTCCTGCAAATAGGGGGACTCCCCTGAGTCCACAACACCAAGGGTTAGTTGCCATGCATACACTTATGCAGGAAACTACAGGCAATCTAAACATTGATTGACAGTTGGGGCTGTCCTGGAAGCCCCCCGTCATGGGTACCCCAGGTCCACTGACCCTTTGCTGTACTCCATGCCGGGGGGAAGCCCCTGCTCACTAACACGAAGGCCTAAGAAAAAATAACAAACGTTACGATGTCCTGCTCGGCCGGAGGAAACACAAAATAACTGAAGTGTGCTAGGCTGGTACTCTTTTTTATTCTAGGTGTGGGTGATGTGTTTCCTGTTTCCGGTGGGAGGAGCCTATCTCTCTAATGCTGTCCTGGAAGGTGACTAGAGAAAATAAGTTCTACTCACTATATATAAAGTAAACCAGGCATATCAATAACAGAACAAAGAACGCTGTATAGTGGGTGCACACCAAAGGGGGGGCCGTGCTTATGCAGTTCGGGGTAACCAACCCCTTCCTCAGAGCAAGCACACAAAACACACAGGCACAGCAGGGCAGACAAATTCTCTGCTACTGCAAAATCATACAAGATAACCTAACTTTATACTGCTATATCCTCAGTCATTGCATTGCTTACCTGAAATCCCCTGCTGTAAATTTGGCTTCAGCAAGTGAGAAAGCAGCTTCCCTCATAACCTCTCCCATTAGCATTTTGGTCTATAACATATAAATTAATGATTACAAGTGATGCACAAGATTTTTTGCTTAGTTTTGGATACAGTGGGGAGATGTTGAAACCCCCCTCAAATTTTCATTTTGTCCCAATAAAGAAGAATTGCTCTCTTTATCTGCCACGAAAAAACTGAAAAAGAAAGTAAATTCAATATTTTGAGTTGTCTTGAGACACTTGTTCTGGTGAACACTGCCTAAGAGACCTTTACCTCATGTTGGAGAGATTTCATCTCACTTCCTTTTGTGTCTATGGGGCAGGAAGTGAAGGTATATGTCTAGTAAAATGTTGTCAGCAGGACAGGAAGTGAGAAGAAATATTTCTAACAGAAGCTTGCATAGCAGTGAAACCCCAACAGGGGTTCTAACACTTTTCCACACTATAAAAAGAAATGGCTAGACATACAGTTTGTACGAAAAAGGTTTAACCCGCTAAGAGGTAGCTGGTTCAAAGCGGTTAACAAAGGATCCGGACAAGCAAATTAATTGAAAAAAAGTATAAATTTATTTAGAAAAATCAATTGGGATATAACCAATTTAGCCGTATGTACGGTTAACTCGTATTTAGCTGACCCGATAGGAGTCAATCCTACTTGAGTAATGACTTGCAGATGGAGGAGTAAAGTAAAGGGGAAACATATCGAAGTTACAAAATATCAACCAAGTAGTTCAACAAGGAGCCACATTATTTTGTTTTTGTTTCGGTGTTTCATTTCTCTAATTATCAAAAGCCTCCATCTGCAAGTCATTACGCAAGTAGAATTGACTCCTATCGGGCCAGCTAAATACGGGTTAACCGTGCATACGGCTAAATTGACACTGGTAGTCTACCTGAGAAGAGAAACAAAATCCATACAACGATTGCAACCCTATGAACACTCGTTAACTTAAGATCATAAGTAAAGGAGACACATACCAGAATTATCAACTTTGATTTGAGCTATACCATTAGGAATTTTTTCTCTCCAATTGTCTGTTTGGGTTCATTTTTACAGCCACAAAAGTTTGTTTCTATAGGTTTTCCAACATAGAGAGTCCTTTGGTGGGAGCTTGACTGGTGTTGATATATTCAGTACACCAGTCGCCCTCATCCAGGGTCGTGATACAAATGTATTATTAATGAGAGCATCTATTTTTGATACAACTGTCTATTTACAAAATTGATTGTCATGCTTCAATGTTTTTAATGGTAGATAATGACCAAATGGTTATGTCCCAATTGATTTTTCTAAATACATTTATACTTCTTTGCAATGAATTTGCTTGTCCGGATCCTTAGTTTACCGCTTTCAACCAGCTACCTCTTAGCGGGTTAAACCTTTTTTGTATATGCTTCGTCTTGGTTACGGATCGGTTTAACAAGCAAACCTGCATTTCTAATTAAGGGTAATACTTTAACAAGTCGGATCTCCAGGCAGAAACACAAATCATTCTATTAGACATACAGTTTAACCCAGCACCTATGCTACAAAAACATTTTATTATTTGTGCTATACCATTCAAAAAAATAATAAAAAAGCACCATCTGCATTTAGCTACACAAATAGGTAAGAGCCTTCCATTGGATAATAGGTCTAGGTTCAGCAATATTATGTGCCCATAAATGAGGTCAGCTGCCTAACTGAATATACTGAATGACCAGTTTTTTCCATCAATGGATGTTTTTTCTTCCCTGATGACACAGCAGGGGCTGACTGGCAACTTTTAGCCCAGGGGGTAAGTACAACCCAGAGGCCCATGGTGCGGCAACTTGGCCCCCCTCCCGCTCTACCTCTTCCCTGCCTTCTGCCCGCCCGTCTGCCACTTTTGCCATCCTTGTAACAGTAGTGTGAATGTATTTATCGGTTTAGGAAATGTAAAGCACACTGGTAGTGGAGGGATGCCACGTCAGGGCTGTGCGTGTGCATTACTGCTGCGACACCGGTAGTTCTGCCACTAACTCAGAAATACATTGTACAGCATTGCAGAATGGCATTGCCTTTAGAGAACTACAATTCCAAGCAATACATTACACAACAATGCAGAATACCATCAGCTATAGCGGACTATAAATCCCAGCAATAATGACTACCAACAGCTATAGAGAACTACAATTCCCAGCAATACCATTATACAGCAATGCAGAACTGCATCAGCTACAGAGAACTACAAATCCCAGCAATACATTACACAGCGCAATGCAGAATAATATGAAGCTACATACTCTGTTGCTCTGGGTTCTCCGCCTGATGTCTAAAGGGTCTCAGGTGGGCTGTGCGGGCTCTCACCAGGGGTCCAGAGAGTTTCACGGGTGCGTGTGTGTGCAGCAGAGGCAGCTCCCTAATTAGGCTTTCAGGTGGCCAATGCGGAACGCCAGGTGCTGGCTCTTTGCTCCAAAACAAAAAGCTCCAGTGAAGGACTACTAGTTTGTATTGAGATTGTAGTCCATCACAGGAGCAAGCTTGGAGCGGTGGAAATAAGAAAAAAAAAAGTGTGGTGTGCAATATAGTGAAATGGAAAGTGTAAAATTATACAGCAATCAATGCAAAATGGCACCGGCTATAGAGGACTACAAATCCCAGCAATACATTATACAGCGCAATGTGGAATTCCACCAGCTATAATGTACTATTGCTGGGATTTGTAGTCCTCTATAGCTGGTGGTATTCTGCATTTTGCTGTATTGGGGACTACAAATCCCAGCAATAATACATTATACAGCACAAGTCCCAGCAAAAGTACGTTATAACTGATGGAATTCCGCATTGCGCTGTATAATGTATTATTGCTGGGGTTTGTAGTCCCCCATACAGCGCAATGCAGAATACCACCAGCTATATAGGAGTACAACAAATCCCAGCAATACATTATACAGAGGGCGGGCGGCCGGGTGCAGGTGGCAGCGGCCGGGGTCAAGGGGCCGTTCGCGGTGGCATCAGAGAGGCCGGGGGGCAATTGCCACCCTGCCCACCGGCCCAGTACGCCCCTGTGACACAGGCATATTCCAAGATTACAATACCAGGATTCATCGGGCTCAAAATGGGAAAGAGTGGATCAGAGAACATGAGACATAAAAGTCCAGACCTTAACCCCATTGAGAATCTTTGGGGTGTGCTGGAGAAGACTTTATGCCATCATCAGTACAAGATCTTGGTGAAAAATGAATGCAACTTTGGACGGAAATAAATATTATGACATCGCATAACCTTATGAAAATAATGTCATGCTATAATCAAAGCTAAAGGAGCTCCAATGAAATATTAGTGTGTGCCATTTTTTTGGACAGTCAGTTTATAAATGTTAAGTGTGCAAATAAATGTAAAAACTAAATATTTTTTTTTCTTTTTTCTTCAAATTGTACCTCAATAATTTTCTTCAGGATCTGTCGGAAGCGTAGGGTTAAGGCATCAGACTTTTTCTTAAGAAGATTGCGTCCTGTCTGGGCACCTTTCAGACGAGCTTTCATGATGGTTTGGGCCCTTAAGGTAGAATACAAATGAGGTTTACTACTGGCAGTTAAGAGTCAACGTATTTGAACATAATGTTAAAATAGTTTAAGGAGGCATTCTGTGGCAGTGCTCACTTAAACATCATGAAATACAAACATGAAGACTATCGCCACATTCACACTTGCGAATTCCATGAACGCGTGCCATGTATGCGTGTTCTCGCATGCAATCGTGTGCTGCGTTTGCGGCGGGTTCCCATTGAGCTCAGTAGAGTCCTGAGCGCGTAACAAACATGGCAAAAAATAAATATAAAACTTCGACCAACAAAACCCAATACAGTTCCAACAGGGAAAATAAAAAACCCTTTTGGATCCCCTACGGCATATTTCCCCGCGATATCGCTCTATGTAGCTTCTCCAATCCATTTCAATGGAGCTGCTCACATCTCGTCGCTCAATATCGCTTGTAGCTCTTACATGACCCTTTTTTCGAGCGATTTTGCTCCTGATTGCATACAGCCCAATAGGAAAAAGTCGCTCAATATCGCTCAGTGTGAATGGGGCCTTAATGTTTGTGTGTGTGTGTCAGGGGCGGATCCAGAGTCTATTCTCGGGAGGGGCACTGCCAGAAAACGGCCAGTACGCCCCCCTACGCTCACCCGCCCTGCACGTCCGTACGAGCATATGAGTACGCTCACCCACACCGATGTACAGGACGGGTGAGCGTAGGGCGGCTTACGGCCATGTAGTCCTATAGAGAAGAACAGGGGCTGTGTACTAATCACACGCAGCACCTGTCCTTCCCGGGAGCTGCCTGATACGGCTGTGCACGCAGCAAGGAGCTGTGCGTGCCGGCTGATTCCAGTGTGAATGAGCCCTTAAAAAAAAAAACTGGTCACCTTACCCTGGTGGTCAGTGGGGGCTCCCGGGGCCTGGTTGGTAGTGGAGGCTCTCTTGTGGCCGCACCAGCCAGTTTGCCCGCAGCAGATGCCGGAGGGCCCGTCACCAAACCCCCCTCCCCCACTAAATGAAGCCCCTGGCTGCAGGTGCAGTGGCCCCCTCCCTCCGCCGTCTCTCTGCCACCTGCACCGCTACAGATGCGGCTTTCTAAATGTGCAGCTGCTCGCTCCTCAAGGGGGTCCTCGAGAGGCCCCAGCGGGCAGCCCTCTAACATGCCTGATTAGAGGGCCGCGTCTGCCTGATCCAGCCAGCCCGGATCGCATACCGAGGCGATCCGGGCTGGCTGGATAAGGCAGATGTGGCCCTTTAATCAGAGGCAATAGTATAAAATGGTGTGATTTGGGTGAAAAATTATTTTAAGAAGGGGAAGAACTTACTTGTGGTGTCAGAAATCCGGGCGCGGTGGCGATTCTGGCGCTGCAGGAAGTGATGTGTAATATTGTTCAATTTACGGTGGTCTCCAGGTGAAGGAGTAGGGGTGAAACAGGACTTGTCCTAGGGGTTGGCCATGGCGGCTGGGAATGGTATCATCAAATGTAGTAGTGAGCTCAGAGGTCGAGGGCTGAAGCTGAGGGCAGATATAGATTGAGTGCTATGTGTGCTGAAGGGCTGATAGGGAAGCTGCCTCTGGTCTTAGCAGCGATATTTGTTTTAAATGTGATGGAGTGAAAGTGACAGTCGGTTAAGGGGGGGTGCACAGGGCCATGTGACGTGAGCAACGCGTTTCGAGGAGATCCTCTTTCTCAAGCTCGAAAATACAAAGCGTGTAGCATTGGCGTGAGAATCGCCGGGTTTAAAAAACAGTGGGCGGAGTTTTGCGGGTGGAGTGTGCTGCGGTCGCTCTGCTGGCTCGGGCTGAGGTTGAACACTGTTTTGCGTGTGTGGACAGTGAGGGGGGATGCTGATAAGTGATAAGGGGTGTTCGTGTGTGGCCATGATTATTGATGTATGTGGGTAAGCAAACATTTGTTTGACGGCAATTGCCGCCGGGTTTCAAAAATGACAGGTGGGCGGAGCTACGGGGACGGACAGTGTGAAGGGCATAGTGCCGTATATGAATGTTTGTATGTGGAGTTGAGACTATCTGGCGTTGTGAATTTATTATATGAGAAAACCGCAACGATTGGTACACACGCGAACACCCCTTATCACTTATCAGCATCCCCCCTCACTGTCCACACATGCAAAACAGACTCGGCACACATAGCACTCAATGATGATACCATTCCCAGCCGCCATGGCCAACCCCTAGGACAAGTCCTGTTTCACCCCTACTCCTTCACCTGGAGACCACCGTAAATTGAACAATATTACACATCACTTCCTGCAGCGCCAGAATCGCCACCGCGCCCGGATTTCTGACACCACAAGTAAGTTCTTCCCCTTCTTAAAATAATTTTTCACCCAAATCACACCATTTATACTTTCGGATTTGCGCTCTCAGTGCCTCAGTATTACGTTCACAGGGTCCTCCTCCTGTTTTTTGAGCAGCAATCCACATCATTTTCACCCACGCATGCCCTGCATCCCTGAAAGAGCGCTGTGTTTTTTTTTTTCTTTTTGTGGCCCTTTAATCAGGCATGTTAGAGGGCCGCCCGCTAGGGCCTCCCGAGTACCCCCCTTGAGGAGCGAGCAGCTGCGCGATTAGAAAGCCGCATCTGTAGCGGCAGAGAGACGGCGAAGGGTTAAGTCCGCCCCTGGCTGGTGGTATTCAGCAATGCTGTATAATCATTATACAGCAATGCTGAATACCACCAGCCCAGCTAGTCCCCCAATCCCCTCTTTCCCCCCAAGCCAGTCATTACCCACAGACTCCCCCCAACCTCACCTAACATATGCAGGCTGCAGTACCTCTTCTTCTGTGTCCTTGGCGACCAATGGAGGGGAGGGGTCACAGGAGAGGGTATCGGCTCCGCCTCCGCCAAGCTATCAGTCATTGCCAATGACATGCAGCTGCCAAAGACCTGTTTCATTCAGAAGATCCCCGCACACGCACAGCCGCCGGTACATACAGCTGTCCCTCCGTGCCACAGACTTTACTGTAGTTCATTGTACAATGTTTTTTTTACAATGAACTGCAGTAAAGTCTGTGACACAGAGGGAAAGCTGTATGTAGTTGTGGCAGCCGCAGCAGAGGCAAGGATCGGGACTCGTCACTCGGGACAGTCACAGGAGCGGCAGGGCTCGTAATGAATATGGGCTACACTGTGTTGCCTCTAGGTCTACCCAAAGTGGGTTGTGGGGGGACTGGAAAAAGCTGACTATTGAGGCGATGTGTATGAGTGTTAGTACAGTGCATGTGATGGATGAGGTGGATGATTTTCTGGGTATTGTCTGAGGCCTGCCTATTGGGAACAAACCCCACTTGGTCACGGTGTATTAAATCCGGCAGGATTGTATTCATGCGGGTGGCCAGTATCTTAGCTAGTAATTTGACGTCGATGTTCAGTAATGAAATGGGTCTGTAGTTGTGCGGGTCGAGGGCGTCTTTCTCAGGTTTTGGGATCATGACTATGTGGGCCAGTGGGGAGGCCGGGTGGAGGGGGTTATTAAGTTGTGCGGGTCGAGGGCGTCTTTCTCAGGTTTTGGGATCATGACTATGTGGGCCAGTAGGGAGGACGGGTGGAGGGTGTTATTGGTCTTTAGAGAATTGAACATGGCCGTCAAGTGGGGGGCTAAAGTGTCTGAATATTTTTTGTAGTATGTAGCCGAAAATCCATCCGGGCCGGGTGTCTTGGAGGTCTTGAGGGACTTGATGGCCATAATGACCTCCTCGGGGGAAATGTCTTGGGCCATAAGGGCGCTCATGCTCTCCGTGAGCGAGGGCAAGTCCACCCCAGCAAATAACGCTTTGGCCTGGTGGGCTTGAAAGGTTGAGGGCTTGCCGTATAGTTTAGAAAGTAGAGCGGTAAAGCGGTTGAGGATGGTGGAGGGGTTTTCCGTAGTGTTACCATTGGGGAGGCAGAGTCTGACCGGGGGCCTGGCCTTCGGTTTAGATTTTAGCATGTTGGCCATTAAAGGGCCAGGTTTGTTGGCGCACGCATAAAACGTCCGTCTAGTCCAACGAAGCTGTTTTTCCGCTGAGTCATTTAAGAGGAGATTCAGTTCCAATCGAACCGAGTCAATCTTTTTCCGCAGAGGAATTGAGGGGGCCATGTTCCAGTCAGACTCGAGCCTCCCCAACGTCAAGGAGAGGTCAGACACCCTTTTGTTCCGCTCCCTCTTTTACCGGGAGGCCAGACTGATGAGCTCGTCTCGTAGAGTCACTTTATGGGCTTCCCAGAGAGAAATCGGGGAAGTGACAGTGCATTTTGCGGAAAAACAGCGGGAAAGGCACAGTTGAATATGTTGAGCCGAGTTGGCAAAAGAGAGAAGGGAATCATTCAGTCTCCAGTTAAATTGAGTGGATGGTGAGGATCGGTATGAGGCCTGTGGGATGGCATGCAGAGCCTATATGTCGGTGAGGAAAACAACATTGCAAAAAACAACAATCAGAAGAACAATAACAGTGCCAACAATGACAGGGGCTAACAGGTTCAGTATAATAGACATGGGTTATAAGCCTAGCGGTAGACTAGCATCAGGCTCCGGGCTATGGGCCCCGTGGGCGTCCTCGTCCACCAGCCCCATCAGTGGGCATCTGAGCCGGTGGACAATCCATGGTGTGCCGGGGTCAGGACCTCGATAGAATGAGTGGAGTCGGGGCCTGAAAGCAGTCAGAGCATCAACGCGGAGACCCCTTGTGGGCATACCGCAGAGTCAATTGTGGCCTTGTATAACACCAAGGTAGTCTGTTAACGGGGTTAACCCCTAACTGTGGGAGGGGGTCAGAATAACTTACGGACCACAGGAAACGAGTTCCAAACGAGATCCTAACTAGTCATCCACCTTGTATTCAATGTCGTGTATCCTGGTGCCCAGCTCCCTAATGTCTCTGGATAAATGTGTTGCCAGCTTGTCAGTTGCAGTTTTCAGCTCCCTCTGCAGGAGTACCTTAAATTTGTCCAGGAGGGCTGCATCTCTGACCTCAGTCCCCTGTTGCGATTCTGGAGGCTGAGGGGAGAATCCATC